ATAATAATAATGATGATGACGATAATAATGATGATGACGATAATAATGATGATGAAAATAATAATGATAATAATAATATTAATAAAATTAAATTTAAAATATAAAAAAAATACTCGAAAATATTTGACCCTTTGAATAAATAAATAAAAATAAAAAATTTTTTATTTTTTAATTATTATTTATTTTTCAGTAAAAGCAGACGACGTAAATTTTTTTCTATTTTATTTAAATTTATATCCCTTAAGAGACAATTTTATAAATTTTATATATTTATATATAAATATTAGAGTTTCGAAAATATTTATAATATAATAAATATTAATATTCGAAAGTAATAATAACAAGTAAATAATTTAAAATACGAGTGAGTGAGAGAGGGAGAGAGAGGAACGTACACATGTACACGTGTGTGCGTGCGTGCGTGCGTTACAACAACAAAATTTTAAAACGTGTATAATAAGTAAAATCAAATTAAATTACAGCCGCAATTTTTTTTTTTTTTTTTTGTTTAAATTAGTTTTGACAAACGACAATGTAACGATTTCCGGTAATTTTTTTTTCAAATAATAATAATAATTAAACATTTTTCATTAAATAAAAAATAAAGAAAGTTGTAGTAATGGAAACTACTAAGGAATTTAGAAATTTTCGGCGGGAAAATTTAAATCGCATCATAATTATTTATCTATAAATAAATAAATATTTCTTAAGTAATTTATCAAATATCATCTTGGCAACCTTTCACGGCATTAAATTAAAATTTTGAGAAATTTAAATTTAAATTATTATTATTATTATTAACGCGTGAGGCAAACAACACATGAAAGCTGTTAAAGTTTCTTTCTAAAGCTTTCACACCGTTCTTAGCACACATTTTCGTCGAACGCATACGCACGTCCGCACTTACAACGTTCGTTAAGGTAATAAAAAACCATAAAATATGTTATGAACGAAAAATCTACGCAATGCATCAAAAAAAAATTAATAATAATAATAATAATTTTTGGCTTGTAACCAAACCCCTCCCTCCCTCCTTCCCTCTTTCCCTACCTCCCTCCCCACCCGTAAAAACGACATACGACAAGAAAAAAAAAATTTATTTTATTTTATTTCGTTGATAAACGATAAAAGGTATAAACCAACCCAAAGGTTAAAACGATTTGATGATTAAAAATAATGAATTGGGGAGAAAGGGGGACCGGAGTACCGGGGGGACGTTGTACACAAGACTTAAAATTTAAAAAAAAAAAAAATAATTAATTAAAATGCTTGGAGGAATAAATAGAAAAAAAAAAAAGTTTTCACTTTTTATAAAAAAAAAAAAAAAGAAATTTTTTTTTTTTCATAGCTTAGTAAATCTCACTTGAATCCAAAAAAAAATAAAAATAATCCACGAAAATGATTTATGTCTTAATTGTATTTAGTTTATCTAATAAAACCAGTTACGTTAATGATTTATTGGAAATATATATTTAGTACATGTTCTTTCATTTGTATTCTTTCGGGGTACAAAAAGTAAAAAAAAAAGAAATCAAAAAGGAAAAATTAAAGAGATGTAATGAATGAGTGGGTGGGTGGACGAATGTTAAAAAAAAAAAAGAAATTTATAATTCTTATTCCATTTTTTTTAAAATCTCCGTAACGGAAAAAAAATATATAAATAAAAGCAATTAAAAGTTAACGAAAAAAAAACATATTAATTATCCTTATTGAGATGGCATTCACATTAACCTTTGGGGATTTCGTTGGCGGTTAGCGGCGGTCGTGGCGGCGGCAGCGGCGTCGGCGGATGGTGGCATTGCGTATTATTTTTTATTCCGATCAAGTCAATTAATGAAAATTTTACCTTTAACTTTTTTTTTTTTTTTTTAATTACTAGACATGTCTAGACTGTTTTTTTCTTTCTTTCCCTCTCTTTAAATTATTAACTGAATAAACCTTTTTATTATTATTATTATTATTTATTATTATTTATTATTTTTTTTTACCATCTTGTATGATTTATGTACCTTCTTAGTATTTACTCTTTTATTTTTTTTTTTTGCATAAGGGCGTTTCGTTAAATAAAAATTAATGATAATGATAGTAGTAAAAAATGGTTAATTGATAATAATAAAATAAAATAAATTTCGATCTCTACCTGCATAGCTACGCAACAAGATTTAACGATATTTCATATATATATGTATAATTTAAAAATCCTTTCTAAATTCATTTAAAAAAAAAAAAACTTTTTTATGCGATAAATTTTAAATCATTATGTGAATAATAATGATAATGATAACGATAATAAATTTTAAACGTTATAAAAAGTAGTAAAAGAAAGAGAGAGAAAGAGAAATCTCCCAAGTTTTTTTTTTCACAGAAAGTTAACGATCAATTCAATTCAGGTAAGCGAAACATTTAAAAAAAAAATAAAAAGTCGATTTTATTATTTACATTTTACATAAAACTATTAGATTTTATTTTTTTATAAATGATTAATTAAAAAAAAAAAAAAAAAATCGCGTTCAGGAAGGGAGGGGGGAAGCTGTACGCATACACGCACAAAAAATTATTATTATTATTATTATTATTTTATAGGAAGAATAAACAAAAAATTAATATTATATAACATGGAAACAATACAGAAAAGAAAGAAAGAATTGAGTTATATCGAATCGACCGCACGTTGACCCCTTTGGGGAAACTCTATGGCGAAGCTAAACCACAAATCGGATTAATAAGAAACCTTATTCGATGTATATAAACCATTGTTTCCGCTAAAAAATTTTTAGATGAAAAAACTTTTTCTTTCTTTTAGAAAAGCTAAAAAACTTTGCTGGAAAATAATCGAACTAACATTTCGTTTCTTTTAACTGTTTTGGTTCCTACGATTTATGTATACGTATTTTACTTTAACGTTAAAAAAAAGTCTTCCCGGAATTTATCATACGTACATTAACGTACTAAAATTAATAATAAAAAGATTTTTATGGATTTAAATAGAGAGAGAGAGAGAAAAAATTAAGTAAATAAATAAATTTTCTAATTAAAAAAGATAAACCAAAGCGACCAGTTTGCCGACCAAAAGGATTTAACTTCATTAAATGAACCCAGGTGGGAAAACCAAAACGGTGACATAAGTCTGAACAAAGATTTTCCCAAAACATCTGCATGTGAATATATATATATACATATTGTGCAGTAAATTTTTTGGCTAACTGACTACGAATGTGACACAAAAAAGAACCTTTCGACTAGCGTATATAAGCCGTAAACAACAACAACAGCAACAGCAAAATTTCTTTTTTTATGAAAAGCGAAAGGATTATCATTTATTTTTTTATAACGTTTATTATTTTCCTCTCACTCTCTCTTTTTCTTTCTCTCATTCGTTTCCTTACACTCTGTACTTTTCAGTTGCAAAAAAATTAAAAAAAATTAAAAGACTTACAGGCTACTTCGACGATAGCAGGTTGACTTTCAACTTGACCGCTACTCGACCACGCAATACAAACACATCGAAATTTGTCTTTTTCAAAAAATTCATCAACTTCGTTTCGCGTTATCGTTATGTTTGCTTCCACGTATCGAACTCCCGTTTGAGGATCGACAAATTCAAAATGTTGATCAGTTAATGGAGTCTTACGAACGTTGTTGCATTTGAAATAAATCTGAAAAATAAATTTATTTTTTAATTGTATAAAATACTATGAAAAACAATTTGTTTTCCCGAAAAACTTTTCTATTTCCATGTTAATTAAAACGAAAAAAGAGAGAAAGAAACCTGAGGTTTTCTTCAACGACCAACCTTTACCCTTTCCCTTTTTAATTATTAATTATTAACGTAATTTTTTTTTTTTTCATAAAAAATAATATTTTAAACGTTTTTTTTAATTTTTAAATTTTTGTTAAATATTTTATAATAATAACATAAATAAAAATTAATGACTGGCCAATGCAAATTTAGATAAATTAATAATAATGTTAATAATAATAATAATACTTTTTTTAGTTATAAAACTAGTAGTTTCATTTTATTTTTTATTAAATAATAAAATACCTGTTAGACGAGTTAAATAATCGTTTTTTTTAGGGTGATAATGCCGCATTACTTAAATTTATATTTTTAAATTTTATTTAAAAAACTCGTTTTTATTTATAAAAAAATATATTAAAAAAAAAACAACAACAACAACGCGTTTTAAAAAAAAAAAAATTTTTTTTTTAAGAATTCATTTATTTATTTATTTTATTAAAAATTTTTATTGTTTTTCCAATTATAAAAAAAAAAAAAAACGATGAAGGTGAGAAAAAAGAAAAAAAGAAAAAAAAATTATTATTATTGTTATGAGAGAAATTATTGAAGTGGAAAACGCAAAAAAAAAAAGTTATTTTCGAAATTGGCAAAAGAAAATAAACACGCAAAAAAAGGAAATGAAAAAAGAAATAAATCGAGATGTTTACCTTATACAAAATTAATTTTTTTTAAAAAGAAAAATTTAATAAAAATAAAATTCAAAGGGAAAAAAATTGTTAAAAACCCTTTTTCTTTTTTTTTTTTTTTTTTGAAAAAAAAATCTTAATGATATTTAATTTAATTTTTTTTTTTGAAATGTAACGACGATGACCAAAAACAAAACGGGGAAAAAATTCGGTAAAATTAAAAAAATTTAAAAAAAAAAAAAAAAACAAAATGTTATTTTATGGTGTAAGCCGACCGAGGATTTGTTTTTGTTTATTAAAAAAAAAAAAAAGAAACCTTTTACGGAAGGTCTTTGACCCACGTTAATCATTGACCACCACCACCCCCACCACTAAAACGGTCGCCAAATCCACGGGAAAATTAAATGATGCATAAAAATTTTTAATTAAAATGTAAAACAAAAAAAAGAAAAAAAAATCTTACGTTCAAAGCATGCGCGGCACGACATTTAAGAGTCGCCGGTTTATTTTTGACGACGTAAGAGTCTTGCGGCGTTTCCAAAAGCATCGGTTCGACCGAATGTTGATCTTCGTCTCCTGTTGGTATCGTTGGAGGATGTAAAGGGTCCTCCATATGCATTGAATCATCCGCATCTAAAAAAAAAAAATAAAAAAAAATCTTTTCCATTAATTTTTTCTTTAAAAAAAAAAAAGTCGTGAGAATAACAATTTATAAACGTGGAAGAAGAAGAAGAAAGAAAAAAAATTACTGCTTTTAAGTTATTATCTCAAAAAAAAAAAAAATTACATTTACTATATATAATGGTTATAATAGTGGTATAACATTTAACCTTGATTGAGTAAAAAAAAAAAAAAAATTTTTATTGGGAATTTTAGGGAAGTTGCGAAAAGGATGAAGGGAGGAGGGAGCGGGGGAGGGGGAACACACTCCCAAAAAAATGAGGGTTATAAGAAAACTCTTAGATAATACAAGAAAAAACCTTCATTTTATATCGTAGTAATAAAAAAAAAAAATCCTGATAAAAATTTTACATGTTTTTCTTATAGTTTTACTAAAAAATTGTTTACACCACCACTACCACCACCACCACCATCACCATCGCTGCCGTCGCTTTCTCATCAATCTCTTCTTTCATTTTTTTTTCTTTTCTTTTCTTTTCTTTATTTAAAAAAAAACAAGCAAACAGAAAACAAAAAAAAATATATCAACATTGATTTATATAAAATTGTCTATTGTCTGGATATACACAACAAATAATAATAATAAAACTTGCCATGTTTTGTGTTTTTTTATGTTTGTTCCAGATAAAAAAAAAAAAAAAGCTTTTTGGTTTATTGAATTCACCTCCTCCTCCTCCTTAATTCGTAGTTTAATTATTTATTACAACCCCGTAAAAAAAAAAAAAAAAATCAAGTTTAAGTCACACCCTGTAAAATTTTTTTTCCTTTTTTTTTTACTCTTTTTTCAAAATCTTATTTAAAAAAAAAAAAGAAAACAATCGAAATAATTTTAAATTCAACGATAAAAATGTGACAACAAACAAGAAACGAACAATAAAAAAAAAAACTAACATTTTCGTTTGTTTCTCCTTTCAGTTTTTTTTTTTTTTTTTTATTGTCCAAAAAAAAAAAATAACAAAATTATTTTTAATTACGTCAAAACGTTACGTCATAATAGACAACAATTGTATAATATAAAATTAATATAATGATAATAAATTTAAAATAATTTACCGTCGGTATGATTGGGTGCGACACAAACTTTTCTTTTTTTTAAAAAACCCGTTGAAAAATTAATACAAACCGTTTGTCGTCGCATTCGAAAACAACAAAACAAAAACAAAACTGTTGTCTTTCGCACACACCTAAAAAAATTGTTTTCTTTTTTTTTTT